TTGATTGGGGGGGGGGGGAAACTTGCCTTGGATGCAAGTAAATACAGTACTTGGTAGAGGTGCACCGATACGTGGGTCCGATATTGGCTCAGTACAAATATAAAGAAAACTGGCTGTATCAGATATTGGCCTGATGGGGCCAATAATTTGGCCGATAAACTGCCCAGGCTGTGAGCAGCCGCAGCACAGCACTCAGGCAGCGAGGAGCAGAGTCAGCAGTGTGGAGAGCTGTGTCCAGCTGTAAGTTCGGTGTGGTGGAAGAGGAGGGGGGGAAAGAACGGGTGTTGTGGTGGGGGAGGAGGGCAGATCAGTCCTCCACGCGGTGAGGGACTGGGTAGAGCCAGGGGCAGGCACTGCCCAGGTGGGGCAGAGAGGGGCCTGGAGCCATGACTTGTGTGTAGGGGGGAGGCAGCTCCCACCACTGCTTGCACCCTGGGAGTGCATGGGGTGGTGCCCCCAGATCTGCATGGGGCGGGGCAGGCTGCAACTGGGGCTGCACGGAGCTCTTCTCAGTGGGGGCTGGGCTCAGAGTGGGCACCAGTGGCTCTGGGATGATTTTGCATCCACCCCAAATTTTGCCGCCACTCCCCTAAAAGCGCCGCTGCTGCCAGCCACCCGGCACAGCCCTGGCTCTTCCCAGCACAGGTGGAGGCGGGGCATTGAGCCAAGGCTGTGCCAGGTGGCTGGCGGCACTGGGAGTGGAGTAGTGGTGAAATTTCAGGTGGATGCAGCATCTTCCCAGCACCGCCAGCGCCTGCTCCAAGCCCAGCTCCCGTGGAGAAGAGTCCTGCACTGCCCCGGCTACAGCCTGCCCTGCCCCATGCTCTCCCAGGGTGCAAGCAGCAGCTCTGGCCCACCCCCATGCCTGGGCAGTACCTACCCCTGCCCCCTCCCTCATCATGGGTGGCATTGATCTGCCCCACCATGCCGCTTCCCTCCCCACTCCCCTTCCACCACTCCGGACTTACCAGCTGGAGGTAGCTGTTTTGGAAATCAGATGGGTATCGGCTGATATGCCTCCTTAAATATCGGCCATCAGTAC